TCGACAAACATCTGTATAAGTAGCTTCTCGGAGGCAAACAGTTTTAAGTCACACTGAAAAATAGATTTCTAAGACACTTTTAACCCTTGGTTAGAGTGAGGTACGAGAAGGTGTTTTGAATATTACAGATCGACCTGAGATAGTTACTGAACCGCAGAATGTTACGAAAGCAGAAGGGAAGAATGTGACATTAACTTGTAATGCTACTGGAAATCCAGAGCCAGAGCTATCATGGTTCAGTGATCAGCATCTCGTGAAAAGCAGCAACAGGATTAGTTTGTCAGCAGGCAACCAGTCGCTGATGATAGCGAATGTGAACAGAACAGATAGCGGAAAGTACCTGTGTGTCGCCCATAATGAAGTTGGAAACGTTTACTTAAAAGTTGCAATATTAAATGTTCAATGTAAGTGAAGTGCTATGCTATATGCTTATTGACTGAGTTTGGTCGGGCCGGACGGGAATTTATTTGGCTCAAGGCGGACATGACATCATGACGAACTGAGCACAGCGAGGTCCATGCCTTATGACTGAGAGCCAAGTATTTTCCCTTCCGCCCCGACCAAACTCAGTCAATAAGTATTTATCGTATGACCACTGGGTGTTGAAAAATTTAACCTAAACTGAATAGAGTGCGATATATCGAGGGGCACACGCAGCCACACAACCTAATAAAGTCAGGAATTGTAACTTTCACTCTATTTTTTCGAGTGAGAACAAGAAACTCCCAATTCCTTGAAAAAACGCAAATTTTTTTTCTCATTTCTGTTTTCCTTTAAGCTTTTACAACAAAGCGATGTGAGGGCAGTAGGGCCGGACGGCGTTTTCCGGACCGGCTCTCGTGAACACGTCTGGCCCTAAATAAACACGTCAGCGTTCACCATGGTTTTCTATGGGATTGTGCGAACGGGGCGGGACAAGTAATATGAGAAATATAGGTATTTGCTGGTAGCAGAGCTTAGACCGAACTTTCATTTATCTTTCTACGTCTTTTTAATCCGGGTGCACAGGTCAGCTTCCCTCAAAAGTGGGACATATTTCATTGGAAAGTTGGATTCTTTTCAAAATAACCAACGAAGTGTCATTTTTTCAGAGATACTGAGTAAATAGGGCACCAGGCTAAACTTCATATCCTTCTGTTCATTTCATTTCAGACCAACCAGAAATTATTACCGATCCCTCTGATGACGTGGTAAAAGAAGGAAAAAACACCACATTATATTGTAACACGACTGGAAATCCATTACCTGAAATATCGTGGGAAAGAAATGGAAATCCTATCGGCGATATTTCCAAGACCAGTCATTCAGAGTTGAAAATAATAAATGTGTACAGGACAGACAGTGGAAAATACCGATGTGTGGCTCTCAATAGAATTGGTAGTGTCACGTCACGTAATGCTACATTATTTGTAGAATGTAAGTAATAACAACAACAAAAATAATAATATTTAATGAGGGAACCCAACTCTTCAAGGTGGTTTTCAGTGGAGCCTAGAGAAGTATTTAGTGAATTGTTTTAACTTCTCCATTAGAAACTAATAGTGATAGTAATAGTAATAGTAATATTAATCAAAGTTTAATGTCTTTACGTGGGGCATGGTTATCCCTATTGCCCGATCCAGAGGTTCATGTATGAAACGCAAGACAACAACCCACCTATCCCACCCCAAGGAAGGACATCCATCACACAGTAATCTCGTGCGTGGGAAATTAACGTCTCCTACCCCTAACCCTGCATTAGACGGGACCTTCATTTATTCGTCCCTATCCGAGAAGACTAGAATATGCAAACCATGTCCTCATGTTATAGAAAGGCAGCATGTTCTTCTCAATTCTTTTAAGACTTTGAGTGTTGTTCCGGCCGGGGCTCGAACCCTCGACCTCCCGCACATCAGTCCAGCGCTCTATCCATTGAGCTAACCGGGAGACGGTTAGCTCAATGGATAAAACTTCCTTTGGTGTAGATTTTCTACTTGCTTCCGGTATCCTATGTTGTAAACAGTGACAACCCTCATATTTTTGCATTTAATAAAGTGTGGGCGCTTCTTGCAAAGTAAGATTTATAAAATTTGTAGTTAATAAGCTAATGTTTGTTGCTATATGGTCGTTGGTATCCCAATAGAACGTGCCTGTTTTATAATTATAGACCAAAGTAAGATCACCACTCATCCTAGTAATGAAACAAAAAGAGAGGGAGAAAACGTTACGTTACACTGCAATGCTACTGGATATCCTCCCCCTGCTCTATCATGGACCAAAGATGGGTCTGACATAAGTAACAACTCCAGGATTAGCTTTTCAGCGGACAAAGAGCAGTTGGCAATAACCAAAGCGAGCCGAGTAGACAGCGGAGTATACCAATGTGTGGCGTCTAACCGTCTTGGAAATGACACGTCTGGTGCTGCTTTCGTAGATGTCCAGTGTAAGTGCTGCGGGACATTCATAAAAAAACAAGTTATTTGAGTTATTAACTTAATGTTATGCTCCAACGTGTCCAAATCCCTTTATTCTTATTACTAGACTCGATAGGCCAAAAAAAAATCCTTAATATTTCAGTCCAACGTGTACTACTCCCGCCTCCTTTTCCAAGTCAGTTGGTGAAAGAGTCGCTTTGCAGCTCTGAGTTTCAGATCAATTTAATTAAAGTTGCCAGTTTTGCACTGTGGCTAAATATGATTTGCCGGGTTGCGACACCTATGATTTAACAGCTTGTAGGTGAATAATTATTTTTATTTCGCGTCGAGCAAAACATGGACTATGATTCTGTTTGACATACGATTGTCATATCTTTGAAGCTTACCAAATTTGCGCGTTTTGGTCTATTTGTACATTTGTGGAGGCAATGATGTGCAAAATGTCAGTACCCTTTTGCATAGAAACATTTCTAATTGTTGCGTATGTTTTTTATTTCTTTTTTAGTTGCACCTGGAATCTCCATACCTCCGAGGAATGTCACAGTAGTAAAAGGAGAACATGTGACTTTTACTTGTTCAGTGGCGGGGAACCCTACACCCAGTGTTATTTGGACAAACAATGGAGAAGACCTGGATGTAGCAGCGAACAGTCGATTCAAATTGTCGTCTAGGAACCATAATCACAGCTTAGAAATTGCAGAAGTTGACCTCTCAGACTCAGGGCAATACATATGTGTGGCTAATAACAGCCAGGGTAAACTATTCTCATCTGCAGCTACCCTCACTGTACAATGTAAGTAATATTATCAAATGCATGCAGTTGTATGATATCAGAGCAAACGTTGCCAATAACACATTTGATAATGGCACTAGTTTTATGTTTGAAGTCATATTTTTATCATATTAAACTCACGGGGTACAAATAGTCTCTTACTGAATTTCGTGACCACGCCCACTTCATCGGTCCACTCAAATCGAGTGCGATTTTTGGATGTTATATTATCTTGCCGACTCTCTGTATAAAAAGTTAACAATGTACCACCGAAATATTGAACTATAATATCATGGCTTTCCATTTTGTGTATTTTCGTACTACAAAGTAAAGTTTTTCCCTCGTCATTTTCACCTTTTCCCAAGCGGGTCCGTCAAAATTAAGAAGGCGTTCGTGGTCAAAACAAGATCGAGCAAGCAGTCTTGGGCGATTTCTCTCTTACACAAGGGCAAATTGAAAATGTACTGCCAAAATCAAAGAGAGGAACAAATTTCCTTTGTTTTGATATGAAAATTGTCGAACAAGGAGCAGTCATTTTTGTTTAGTTTGGCTAGTCAAACCA